GCCGCAGTACATGCAAGGGTACAGTCGGGGCGAGCCTTCGCGTTCCAGCTCCTGCAACCAAACAATGACCACATCAACTTCTTGAGAAGCAAGGGGGGAGAGAGGGAACGGGTGCCGTCCACAAGAAGTTGACGCTCATTTGTTTGGCTGAGGGAGGCTGGATTTTGAGCTGCTGATTCGAGCGATATGCGACAAGGGGACGCGTCGGCCGCGGTGCTTCCGGCCAAAATGATTGTCAACTTCCTGACGGCAGAGGCGTACCGGAATAGTTTTTGTTAAGGGGGGAGGAGCGACACGATCCTGAAGGCGGCGGGGGTTCACACCAGTGGAGGTCACACAAATTTTACAACAAAATACACCACTGGGAGGAGTAATATAACAAAATACAGGGTGATTCACGAGGAATAATGAGCCTGACCAAATTCTCGATGCAACCAACATTACATTTGTCGCAAAGCAACTTGCGAAAATGTAATGGTGGTTGCATCGAGAATTTGGTCAGGCTCATTATTCCTCGTGAATCACCTTGTATAAATAAATATACCTACTCAAGTCTCATTTCTGCTGTCGTTTTTTTTTTCAACTTACAAACAAAAATTTTTATTATTTCGCTATTATAGAACAACGCTTAAAATAAGACATTACACACCAATTTAAACACTTCCTATAGAAGCTGTAATAAGAACGTATTTTTTAATGAGAATAATAGTTGGCTATGTTCCTTCTGAACTTACATCTTTTTATGTAAAAAAATATACAGTGAGTTCTTTATATCTCTGAACAACTAAGTAGAAAAGTTGATTATTGTTTTGAGCAAAATTATTTTCTCAAAAAGTGAGCTCAAAAATATGTCTAGAACTATTTGCTTTGGAAAATGCACGATCCTGTATAAATTTTATGGAACGATGTCTGTTCTGTTCTGCACAATATTAAATATGGAGAAGACAAAAAAAAAACACAAATTGTATAAAAAATTAAATACCTACTATATTAGCTGTCCCATGCAAGTTTGGATATAGGAAATTAACATGGGAAATTGTTTTTTTAATTTTTTTCCGGCTGCAGGAGTAACAGAAATTAAAATCTGATTAATGGAGCTTGTAGTGTTCGAAAAGGGCTATCTTATTGACATTTTTGTCGATTCTCCAGTTAACAATTAGGCAAAAACGTACCTCGAAAAATCGAGATGTGAATTTGCCGGGTTAGCGTTACAAAGAAACGAACTATCAAGTCAAATTCTGACAAATTCTCCTTTGGCAAATTCAAATTTCGATTTTTCGAGAGTCGCTTTCGCCCAAATGGAGTTAATTGGAGAATCGACAAAAATATCCATAAGATACAAGCTTCGTCAATCAGATTTTGATTTTGATTACTCCTGCAGCCGGAAAAAAATAAAAACTAATTTTCCATGTTAATTTCCTATATCCAAGCCAGCCTGGGACACCCGGTATAAACTTCAATTTCATGCTTTAATATTGTTTAAAATTTTTAAATTTTTAGCGTATAGCAGTGAGATCCTAAAAACCAAATTTGGAAAAACATTTTTTTAATTGTTTGGAATCTTTTCTACATGATAAATTTTTTTGATTTTTTTCTAATGGTAACTGTAAAAATTGAATAATGTAAAAGTTGATAGATTTTGAGTAATTAACATTTAAATATTGAAAATTGGGAATTCTGGTAATTTTTGGCCAAGTTTGGGATGATGTGCTGCTAATGCATTGACAATAGAGCGGAGGCTTAACAATAGAGCCCGGGTACGTAATAAATGTCATTACAGACCTTTTTCTTTTGTCAAGAAATTCTGGCCTGATCACCAATTACCGCAAACCCCCCCATAAATTATTCCAAGTTTCAGATTTTCAATATTAAAATGTTAATTATTTAAAACCTATCATCATTATTCTATTCTCTCAAATACCACAGAAAAAAATTAATGAAATTCATGTAGAAAATATTTCTTTTAATTGAATTTTGTTTTTCCAAATTTAATTTTTAAGGTCTAACTGCCATACGCTAAAAATTTTGTACAATATCAAAACACCAAATTAAAGTGTATTTAATCCTCTATCGTTTACACTATCAAGATTCATTTTTAATCAATTAAAAATTTTTATTTTTGCGCCGGCCTTCAAACTTAGGACAGCCTGTACAATAATGCCACTTTGTCTCAACTGATACTAAATTTTCCTTTTATGTTACTGAAAACAGTTTGGTTAGTAGTTGAAAACCAAGTTAAAGGAAAAATCAAAAAATATTGCTAGGTTGGAAATAAATTCGCTAATATACACGATGACTCAAAACTGTTGGATCAACTCTCGATTGGTGATAGCTAAGCACATAAATGAATGAAGATTTTTTTCAAGCTTTGGTTTCTGCGAAAAAATAAAGAAATGACACAACAGACAACTTCTATATTATCATGTAGACACCTTACTTTTTTATTTTCGATATTGTCGAATTTATTGTTGAATTTGCTAGTTTGTAAAATGTTTTGTGCACCACAAGACACAAATTGGTGATTTTTTCAATGTTGCAAGATCTGTTGTTTCTGCTAAATAAATTCAACAGTACGTGATTTGAAGGCCAAAAACTTAACCCAAAGGTCTAACCTTTGAAGAGCTATATTTCGTAAAAAAAAGACTCAAACAATTTTTCCGCATCGGAACTTTTAACTCATTTCGATATCCTTTATCATCACTCCTCACCCAAGAGATGGTTCAAAGCTTTTGAATCACCCTGTATAGGTATCGGTATAAATAAAAATTATTGTTGTTTATGCAGATTGTTGCTGTTTTGTTTGTAAAATGTTTGAGTAATTTGAATCTGAGTGCATGTTTTACTTAGGTATTCAATATTAATTTATAGAAAAACAATCAACTTTCCTATTTCTTATTCTTAGGTTGTTAATTTTTGTATAATACTGTACTTAAAGATTTTAAATAAGCAGAGCAATTGTTTGTGGTCTGTCTAAATGCTTAATAAGCATTTACATTACATTTTTCTTAAAAAAATTTTTGAAAATTATATTTTGTCTGCACTCTTTAATACAATACTTCAATAAATAAAAGCTTTGAAATTTTGAACAAGCAAAATAATGTTATCATAAAAAAACAAAGATAAAAATACTCTAAATGTTTAAATATTTAGTTACTATAGTCAGTTCACTGCAGACTTTTTTATGTCAAAATTATCAGAAACCACATTCATTGTGGTTAATTTTCCTCAAAAGCTTTATTGAACGCTAATTATAAGTACAAGCAAACATGAATATGCTTGTAAAAACATTAATATTTCATTATAACAATGTACTTAATCAAAAACCAATAATTAAAATAATGAAACGTAAAGAGAAATGAGCTAAAAACTTAACAGCAGTTGGTTTCTGTTTTTTTTTCTTTCAAAATGTTGAAAACTCTGTTTTAATGGATTACTATTAATGATTTCTTGCAGAAGCTTGCCATAAATTGTAATTTTTTACATATGGTGCTAATTAACAATTTTAATAATTTGAAAAATTATTTTAAAAAATCAGAAATAATATGTATTTTACAAAAAAACAAGTCAATTTTTTCTAAATAGTTTTTGAAAATTAAAGAAAATAGTAAATAAAATAAAAAACCCTACCCAACTAGAGTAGGTATTTCCTAAAATTTTATTTTATAAGTAAATTCTTTAAAGTCAATTTAGAGAAGCGTATTAAAACTTAATTGCGGTTAAATATGCCCTTAATGTGTCTAAGTTTTCAGAATTTTATATAACTTTGTCAAACTTGTGAAACTATTCAGTAACACATCACACGAGATATAGAACACTTGGGGCTGGTTTACAACACATTTAAGTAATTAAATTTTAATTCGCAATTAATTTGACGTTAGGCAATGCAACGTAAAGACAACTTATTTCGATTTCAAACCTGATCCAAAACAAAACAAAGATACGTAATATCAAATAATCAAATTGGTACTCGGGATACATAAAAAATGTGAAGTTATAAACCTCTACCGAGTTTATTTTTTGGAGTAGTAATAAAATTAGGAAAGAATTGAAGCACCATTTTTTAAATTGTAATAGTCAAATATATTCTCCTTATATGAATTTGAATTATGTATAGTATTTATTGCCACAGCAAGGAAAGAAGTTTTGCAAGAGTTAATTAAATGCTCACAAAACCGTTTTACTGTTAATCATAAATCTCCAGTTACACTTTTCGTTTCTATTCTTTTTACTCAAGAAAATGTCATTTTAAAGAACAATATGCAGTAATTAATCGTCAGTTGAAAGAAAATTATTAAATGTTTAAGAAGCAAAAGCGTGACAAGCAAACTAATTTTTGTTGCAGCGACTGCAATAAACTGTACAATTGTCATCGTCATCGTTGCAGAATATTGAACACTTTTTACCTTTGGTGGTATTTCCAACAAAAATGAAAACGCCAAGACTGTGGGAACGAAACGAACTCGAAAAATTGCAACTTATGATTTGATTTTTTTTAAATAAATTCATGACGACAGAAACAAACGATATTTCAATCTACTTACAGAATCGTGGGGGTGTCTCGAAAAGTCTGATGAACTCTCTCCTGTATTTTTGTCTTCTAGACCTCCGCTCCAGTCAACTTCCTTCTTGAGGCTCTGAAACAATAACGCTGTCGTGTAGTAGGCTTAGTGAGTAGGCAGATGGAAACGAGTTAATTGTATTCGTTAATGACTCAATGTTAAATGTTTTGACGCTCCGAGTTATAAATTTTGATATTATATTCTCGCAACTAAAACTGGTTTTGAACACATTTGGAAATTTTACCACTGAAATAAAAACATAAACTCTTTTTTAGAAAAAGCATAAATCGTGAAAAATGCTCGAACTTTACAAATGTTGTGAGTTTCCACATTAAATTAACAGTTAGTTTGCAAAATTCTATTAACTGAAACTGCTTTTACAGGAAAATTCAATAGTAGGTATTTGTATTTTGCAGGCTAAGGGCATTATTCAGTTATACCATTTTACAATTACCGCACCTAATAAATAGCATTTGCAAAACTTATGTTTTATTTAAATAAATTCCAAAACTGGTGACAATTTTTAAAAATTCTATTGATGGTATTATTTAGTTTTCTTAGCAAAATGGACAGATTGATTCTCATTTTAGTCATTTAAGCGTGAGAGAAATGGATGCAAAAATGCATTTTTCCACTTGGATGCTTATATTATTTAGGTTTTGTGTTTAATTGACCCCTTTTTGGTTTAATGTCTTCATAAATGATCAAGAGTCACGTGATCGGAATAACTAGAATAACTATGTAAGAGATATACAATAATCATAAAAGCACTGTATTTTGGTCCAAATACATAAACAAATTCAAGAATACCTGTGAATATAAAAATTCGAAAAAACAATGAATATTTCAATAAGATTTCTTTCTTTTTTTTACAATCATTTGAGTAAAATTGGATTTTCAGTCTTTGTTTTAGTGCACATACATACAGGATGATTCAAAAGTGTCGGACCAAGACAAAGACTTTCAGATAAGCATAAAAATGAATTCAAATTTTTGTTTCAACCCTTTTTTTGAGGAAAAAACAGAACTGTCAATTTCCATATAGGCACTTTAGCTCTTTTCTTTCCGATGTTGCCGGACTTAAATTATTGCTGAATTTGCTAGTTTGTTAAACGTTTTGTACCATAAGACACAGATTGGTGATTTTTTTCAACAAGTATCTGTTCACTGTTGCAAAGTCTGCTGTTTCCGCTAATAAAATTCAAGAATACTGAAAAATCTTTGAACCTTTGAAGAGCTATATCTCGTGAAAAAAGACTCAAACAATTTTTTGTCATAGGAACTCAGTTTGACCCAATAAGGGATGGTCCGACACTTTTGAATCCCCCTGTATAGACTCCAAAAAATAAATGAATCAAAATATTAAATTTAGAATGCAACAGGACCTGACAAAGTTGTAATATTTCACAAAAATTCTATTTTTTGCATTTTTTAATTTATGAAAAATAATTGAAAGAATACAAGTTGCTTACAACCTTGGAGTCGAAAACTGACCTAGCAATAGAAGAGTACAACCTAGAAAAAAATTCACAAAATTGTTATTATTACAAACGTTATTTAACTCCAAAATATTGGTGAAAGGTTTAAGAGTCACCGGAATTATTAATTTTGTGAGATAAAATTACACTGTTGCAACAAATACAAATACCGTATATACGATAATGAAAGAGAAAAGTCATTTCATGGTTTTGACATTATCAAAATTTAAAGATTTTCTGTTTAATCACTTCCAATGAAATCGTTTCCAATAGGTTTGATTTGTTTTCCTTGACTTTTTTCCATGGACATCACAAATATTAAAATACCGTAAACCCTGTATAGCGGCTTTGTAATAAGTAAATTATTAATCAGGCGCATTTCGAAATTAAAGTTTAAGCCACCACTATGTAGAAATTTCTTTTTCTATTTTGCGTTTAGAATAAGTCTATTCCAGCACCCAAATGACGTCAAGTCGTTGGCGTTAATTTAATTCTAGTGACGGACTTTCTTCATTATTCATTTTCAAATGCGAAAATAAGAATTATTTTTATTTTTTACAGCCGCCTAAAATTATTTCACATAAATGTCGCCAACCGTCGTAAAATTCTCTAGAAAAAACTATTAAAATTTTCGTTTGTTAATTTATAAAATGATATAAAGCGGCGAAATAGAAAAAATAGTATAAAGCACTTGTTGCAGAAGGTTCTTCAAGCACTCATTTGTTCCTCAACTTGCCGCTACGCTGCTCGTTTTGGAATTCAAATTTGTGCTTCTTGTACTTTAATATACTATTTTCGCACTAGTGCATATTAAATGGCAATAAGAACATCACTGGTATACAAATTTGTTTGTTTTGTTTTAAGTAAATTATTACAAATATTATACAGGGTGCGCCAGAACTCGCGCCCCAGAGAAAAATGCCATATAAGGTGAGATACCAGGAACATAGAAAAAATGTTAAAAAAATTTTATCTATAAAAATTTCTAAGTTATGAGGGTTTAAATTTTGCACTTTGATTCTATGTATTTCTGTTGGAAAAATAATTTTCAAAGTTTTTTTTGCGGCAGGCTATTAGAAGAGGAAATAAGGGAGCTGTATCCTAAATTGTAGGTTATTTGTGGCTTTTATTGGCAAGATTTTTGTCCCTTTACTAAATAATTGTAAAAAAACATATACAAGATCATCAGTATCATTAAATAGATATAAAAAAATGTCAAATGTCAAAAAATATATGTCAAAATTTTTTCCCAGATAGAATTTTTTAAACATTTTTTTTTAAACCCTCATAACTTCAAAATTTTTATAGATAAAATAAAAATAAAACATTTTTTTCATGTTCCTGGTATCTTATCTTACTTGAAAATTTTCTCTGGGGCGCGAGTTCTGGCGCACCCTGTATAGTAGAAAAACAAAAATAATAGAATTGATTAATTAATTTTAAAACAATTTTTGCGCGATTGAGCTCTGTTTGATTCTTTACCGCGTCCGTTTCGAAGACATTAAGTGATATTTACGACAAACTTGACGGTAAGTACTGAAAGTCGTCGTCAAAGTATTTTCGCGCACTAGAACGGAAAGTAAAGTTAGATATTTCATTTAAAAAATTAACAAAAATCGGGCAATAATTGTCTTCGATCGGTAAAACGTCCCGTTCTTGATCCTTAATATAGGTACTTGTACCTCATACTAGTGGCACAGATTATCTGTTTTACAACAGATATGTCACTCTTCCATTTATGAATGAAAATAAATTCCGCGTCGCTGTGACCTCGGTGGTCAACTGTGATTGGCTAACTCAAACTTGTGCCGTATTTATGAATGATTTGGGTTAACTTATTTGATGATATTGTTGGTATAGTAAAATGTGTTCATGTGTTCCAGCAAAAAAAATCTTTGTTGTTTTTTTAAAGATGTTAAAATATTTAGCACTTGGTTACCATAACAATACAGAATGTCCCAAGTAAATTTTTTTCAATTGTTTATTGGAACTGACAATGTCAACAAAATGGGAAAAACATAGCAAAATTTGAAATTTGTCAGATCAGATCTTTGACCATCATTTTCATTTCAAATAACGACAGTTCATTAATTGATATAATTCATCAGTAGTATGCATTAATTAACGACAAATAAAAATTTACTTTAAATTTTAACTTCAAATCCCAGAAATGAATAAAGAAATCGTTTAAAGTTGGAAAAATCAATTATTTTTGCATGCAGATTGTTCTATTTAATATAAAAAACAAAGTATATCATTAAAATTGTTCCTTTGTGAAATAATCCGTAAGGTAATACTTCTCCGAATTCATATGTGTGAATACTCTGAATTTAAACCGTAATAAAGAGTTCTTGACTGAACATAAACAGAGAATTTCTATAAAAACTAGCCATTTTTATGTAAAAATGAGAAAAATTAAAGTTGTAGAAATAAGGTTTTCACATTTCGAAGGACAATAAACAATTGCGACAGTGACAGGTACAGAAATAGGAGTATATAATAAATATATTACTACACACAAACATATCTATAAGCGTCAAACCGATTAATTCAATTATTGTTTGAAAGCATTACACCAGTTGTGTAAATAAACATACATAATCTGTACTCCCGGCGGCAAAATTATCATTTTTCACACTCACCAGAGGCACTTGTTGAACTGGTGGCATATTGGAGGGTCCGGGAAGAGGTTCAGTGATCGGCGACGGTAACCTCGTGCATATAATCGGGGCGTTCATCCCCGGACACGCCGCCACCATATTGTTGCTATTACTGTGAATTGACATGTCGCTTGGACCGCAATCGCTTGTTACCGGCGAACTGACATTCCGGGTGTTTTCCGGTGACGACGGCCTTTTCGCTTCGTTCTCTTGATGGTCGATGGGCGACCGACACACCCTTAGATTTTGTACGGGTGGCGACTGCGACGAGGGATGGAGGCGGTCATTCTCGTCCACCGACGGAGAGTGAGACGCCGGCCTCCGGGTTAGTTCCGTGGGCTCCGTTTGCTCCGGTTCCTGAAAAAAAACACAAATTTATTTTTTTATTATTTATTATTATCCTTATTATTATTAATATTGTGATGTTTGCGTTTAAGGTCGTTTTGATGTGAAGCGAAACTATTTTTATTCAATACAGGGTGCGCCAGAACTCGCGCCCCAGAATTTTTTTTTAAGTAAGGTAAGATACCAGGAACATGAAAAAAATGTTTACAAAATTCTATTTATAAAAATTTCGAAGTTATGTGAGTTTAAATTTTGCACTTTGACTCTATTTTTATAATAATTTTCCAAGTTTTTTGCTGCAGGCTATTAGAAGAGCCTGTAGCATCAGTATCATTAAATAGACATAAGAAAGTCATGTTATTAAATGTCAAAAAATAAAAGTCAAAAGTTTTTTCCGATAGAATTTTTTAAACATTTTTTCCATGTTCCTGRTATCTTATCTTRCTAGAAAWTTTTCTCTGGGGCGCGWCTTCTGGCGCAYCTGTAGATCTGTAGAAATTTGTTTTTTATTTTGACCTAGATAACTACCCACCGAAATTAACTAATTAACTAATTACCTTGTTTAACCGATAAATAATAAATAGTATATTAAAAAATAAGTGTCGTTACAAATACTCTCATTGTGATACGAGCTACGCAGTGGCGAGTGTTACAAATGCACAAGTATCACAATGAGAGGTTGTAACAAGCGTTTTTTATACTATTTTTTCTATTGAGCGTTTTTCAAACTGAATTTATTATTTGATTTGACAGTTGCAGTCTGTTTAGAAAACAAACCAATAAACGTAAACCTAACTGAAATTAAAAAAAAAAAAGAAATATACAAAGTGTTTCAGAACTCGCGCTCCAGAGAAAAAAAAAATTTTGACATTTATTTTTTGACATTTGACATTTTTTTATATCTATTTAAGGATACTGATGATCTTGTATATGTTTTTGAACAATTATTTAGTAAAGGGACAAAAATTTGGCCAATAAAAGCCACAAATAACATTGAACAGAGTTACAATTTAGGATAAAGCTTCCTTGTTTCCTCTTTTAATAGCCTATAGTAAAAAAAACTTGGAAAATTATTTTTCCAACAGAAATAAATAGAGTCAAAGTGCAAACTTTAAACCCTCATAACTTCGAAATTTTTATAGATAAATTTTTTTTAACATTTTTTCCATGTTCTTTGTATCTCACCTTATATGGCATTTTTCTCTGGGGCGCGAGTTCTGGCGCATCCTGTATACAGAGTCGCTAAAATGCTAAATAGTATTTTAAAAACTTTTTACTAAATTGTACTAAAATTTGTACATGGATGTACAGTCGAACAAAATGAAAATGACGCCTCAATAAACCAGCCCTTGCTAACCACAAGCAGACAGGGTCGTAAATTATCGGATTGCAGTTTCAAGATAAATTCCTCTTGGAGCCGGTTTACAGAAAGCCAAATTAAAATTTAATTCAGAATAAAACTAATTCGAATTAATTTGCCATTTACTTTGCATTGACAAACGTCAAATTAATTAAATGAAAATATTGAATTTTTTAATGAAAAATTTACCAAACCATTCCTTAAAGAAAATTATGCATTAATAATGACTTTGACGAAGAAACTAATCATTATTAACTTAATATTTTTTAAGTGTTTTTTCAAAATAAAATTCATTGACATATTTTTGAACGAAATAGGTTTACTCTATTTTAAACTTGATTTTATGTAAAACAACAAATGAATTAAACTATTGTTTATTTGCAAGAAGAAAAATTAATTCCACGTGTGCCTTTACTACGAGTGGTGTAATTCTTTGAGCAGAAGCGAAAATAAAATTTAATTCAGAATTAAACTAATTCGAATTAAGTTTCCGTTTATTTTGCATTGACAAACGTCAAGTTTAAAAGTTAATCGCTATTAACACATTTTGTAAACCGGCCCTAAGTTTTCTATTAGTTTTGCAATTGTCATTGAAAACGAAAATTATTTATTTAATTACACCAGGAAAGAAACAGCAAAATTATTTCAAATATTTTAGTTTTGCTTTTATTTTTTGATAATTGTAATACTTTTAAATCATTAATGAATAATTTTCTTCAAGAAATGGTTCTTAAATTTTTCATTAAAAAATGTCAATGAAAAATAAATGTCAACTTAATTCGAATTAGTTTAAAGAATTAAATTAATTAATTAAAATTAAATTCAGAAGAATTCAATTTTCATTTCACTTTCTGTAAACTGGCTCCTAAAGGAATTTATGTTGAAACTACGTCAATCCAATAATTTACGATCCTGCCTGCTTGCGGTTACAAGGGATGCCATCCACAGCAGGGGCTGGTTTATTGAAGCGTCATTTTCACTTTGTTCGACTGTACATTACATTTTTTCGAAAATCATATTTTTTTAAATATTGTTAAATTACATTACACAATATGCACACTTTACAGACTACCTTGTTAATTTTTCGGACTGTTTTGCCAACTTTACGGGCGATTTCAATTTGAGTCCGGAAAAGTACTACTTTACAGACTACGTATTTTAGGTTCCTTCACATATAGATTGTCTAGAATAAGAAAGGCCGTGAGATGTGTAAAAGATAGAAAGAGCAAGTCTGTAAGAGAGTGATGGGCAACCGTTTTATCTCTAGGGCAGTCTAGGGTACAGTCTGTGAAACAATTTTGTTCTATTTTTGCATCGATCAAACTTCCTATTGCACCAAGAACTATTATTTTTGTGGAAGTGTGTTGACATGAACAAGAACACTCTACAAAAAAATTAAACTCCTCTTCCCACCCTTATTTTGCCCACCACACGCCTGCGACTCAGAGCCTTTCTTATTTTAGGCAAGCTGTACTTCACATAATACAACAAACATAATACAAAGGCAACTTTTTTTTTAATAGCATGAGAGTTCAAATTTAATATTTATTAAAAAGAAGCTTTCTCTTTTGAAAAAATTGAATTGAAAAGTAAAAAAATTGCATAATTTGAGACAATACACGAGAAGGGTATTTCTGATTTTTTTCCGCAACCAACAATACAAATAACACTAGCTGCTAAATGAAGTATGTTATTTCTTTTAAATTAAAAATCAAAGTAAGTTGAATAGATAATTTTTTGCTTTAATGTCAAAGAGTCAAGACAAATAATAGCCGTCATGGATTCAGTTATAATTATTTTCAAAATATGAAATCAAGAATTTGTACAATATGTATAATGGGTTGCGGCTGTATTTTTTTCTGTAGGAAATAGTGGAGTATTTTGGCTCTAAATTTGTGAGTTGTTACACAGATTTTTTCTTTTAAACAGAAATCAAATGCTTGTGAACTATTTCACCTCCAAAAAAAAGAGTTGCACTCTGCTTTATGTCGTGCATCAAAAATTGATACCTCGCGCTGTAACAACATATAAGCTACTGCAAATAACAATTTTTTTTACACTTGACGACTTAAAAAATTGCGTGATTGATACTTTTTATCAAAAATTGATGAATTTAAGAGTCTATATGGTTTCAAAGTTAGAAATCTACGACGTTAATTGGATCAATTTATATTATCAGAAACCGGTTTATAGATAATATTGTCAACTACTTTTAAGTTCGCCAATAAATTTACATCTTTCAATGTGAATCAAATGGTACTTAATTCTAATTGTTTTATTTTTAAATAAAGCTAAGAAAACATTTTCCTAAATTATATCGACATACTTACAGTTTTCCCTAAGTGAAACTAGAAAAACTGCCTATGATAAATTAAAAAATGTTATTTGATTTAAGTTTGATTTGATTCATGAAGTTTCGAAAATTGTGTTGTTTACCAAAAAAATACGGGATATCAAATAAAATTTGGACAGTTCGTTTTGTAACAGAAAAAAAAATCTCTTACATACAGATGACAGATTGGACTTTTTTTAAATATTTATGTATACTTAAAACATTAAAATCACTAAAACGGGCCAATAACAGGGCAGTTTATTGCGTGCTGTTATATTGGTGATATCCCCGCTCTTGTAATTATCCGCTGATTTTAATTATACCTGTCATGTTTTGTAGTTCTGTCAAATTCAGAAGTCGTGTCGTGGAAGATTTAATATTATTTGTGATAAATAATCGTTTTTGTTAGAGTATTAGTAAATATTTATTGTGTTACTGTACGTATAGTGCAAGTGGTTTGCTTTTGGTTATTTGGTTTTAGGAATGTTCACAATTATTCTCAAATTTTGACAGTTAGGGCGTAGTATTACTAACTTTTTCCTACGACCATATACGAAACTAGATCATAACGTACAATTACATATGCTCGAAAATTGGCAATATCGTACGAGGTCAGAAGCAGCCTGTGGGATTTGTTTTCGCGTTGTGTGTTAGAAATCTAACGCACAATTCACACTCAAATGTTTTGTATTTTTTCCATTTAACGTATTTTTTTTGTTTCCATTATAAAAAATAAATCGTTATTATTCAACGTATTTTTGTATCTATTATAAAAAATAAATCAATATGAAAAAAAAAATATGTTCGTAAGAAAAAAATTATTTATGGTCGTAGGAAAAATAGTGTACAAAACTTGCAGGAAAGTGTCTAACGCACTCGCGGTATTGCCTGCACTCGGCTAACGCCTCGTGCGCAACTTTCCCGCTTGTGCGTTATTTATCACTTCCAGTGCTCGTTATGTAATATACTACCTAATTATTTTCCTAATTACAGAGAATCCTCGAAAAAAATTAATGCCCAGTTTCAATACACATAGTCTTAGTGCGGGAAAACTGTAAGAAAAACAGTTGAAGTTGTGATAATATCTATACTTCCCAAAATTCCACGAAGTAAATATTAACAAAAATCTTATATCTTTACATATTTACTAAGCAAAAAAACATAAAAGTTTAATAAAAAATCAAATGGAAGACCAAAAACTAATAGCTATGCAAAAGTTGGGAATAAATAATCAAAAACCATTTCATTTTTATTTTCCAAAAAGCATTTCAAAAATAAATACGAAACAAGTAAAATAATTCATCAAGATTGGCGTGCACCAATGACAAACAAAAACAATATAATCCAAATTTATTTGAAAATTCTTTGTTTCAAAATACCTAACTCGTGTACTTAACAAACATTAGAATTTATACGGGTATTGACTAACACGCAAGTTCTACCTACCTATATAAAAATGAAAAATACAAAATTTAAACGACATTATACGTTTCAAACTACTTATAAAATATTTTCTAGGAGTAAAAATACAAAAAAAGAAACAAGTTTAAGCTTCTTTTTAAAACAACCACGTACTAAATTTCTACCGTAGGTAGACAGTTTATTTATCATACTTACTAGTAGGATAATACCTATCATCAAAACACAAACAATTTCAAGAAAATGGAAAATATAAATACCCACTGACATGTATTTTTAAACAATCCAATTATAAAGAGTGATTTATTTAAAACGAGCCCTCCTGCATATCTCAGAAAATAAACAAAAATCAGAAAGTCCCTAGACAATAATTAATTTTTTGTTATCTGATTATTGTCAATCAACGCAAACGACGTTTCAAAGCTATCCTTGCACTTTTATAGTAATTTGTTCTGCGTAACGTAAATAAAAAATACTCAAAACTCAAACAAAACCCACAACCGAATTCCTGGTCAAAATACCTTTCATTTGAGTTATCACAAAGGGGGTGATGCTATTTTAAATTGTTTGTATTACAAAGAGGGTTGATGCTACAACTTTCAAAAGTACACTAAAAGTTGTCTCCCTGTAAATGAAAATTGACTTGTCTCCGGATTTTCTATTTTTTTTTTTGGCTCGTTTAAAAAAAATCACTGTATTCTAGTTCGCATTGTTGTGTACACAGTACTTCCAAAAATTACAAAATGTGTAATTTATTGCATTTTTTAATTCCAGCAGATATTCAATTGTCCCAATGAAGTGTTCTTGCTTTTCTTTGTAGATCTGCATTCAAGAATACCAGAACAAACTAATTTCAACTTTCAGCAATTCTAGAATCTAAATCATGAGAGTCATGATTTTGGGTTTAGACCACCAAAGAAATGCATAAATTGTGACCTGATATTACTTCTAATTAAACACCTACGATTATTTTGTTAGCAAAACTAAAAATTTTAGCAATTGAGAAAGTGATGTTGATAAACAGACTCTTCTCGCCCCTTCTATTCGTTACAAGAAAGTTACTACTTTTTGCTAATAAAACGGACTGTCACTTAGAAAAAAATCCCTTCATTGGAGAAATTGCACATATGTTTAATTTAAAACCGTTAAAAGATTTATTGTTTTAAAGGAATTTCTTGACAATTTGTCGATTTGTTTTCTAAAATAATCTTTGTACAAAAAGATTAATTGTTTATGGAAAAAATGTAAACCTTACAGCAAAAATTTCAATATTCTGGGGAAAAAGTTCTCTTACCGTGTGTTTATATTCCCTGGTCATTTCGGCGAGCCCCTTAACTTTGAGACTCTCCGCCGTCTTGAGGAGGGCCGACAGTTGGCAGTATTCGACGTTGACTTCGCCCTTGTACATGAATTCGATGAGTGTCCTAAGTTCCGCAAAGCGGACGTCTTTGAGAATGACGATCGGATGACGACTGGGATGATCGACGAAGAGCGTCTGGAAATAGGAGGAACAGGCAGAAAGGACGACTTTGTGAGCTCGAATCGAATGGCCCTCCGAGCAGGCCAGGGTTACGTCTACTAGACTTTCGTCACGGAGCAGTTGACTGAACACCCCGAGTAAATTGCTTTGATGATTATTCCACCTCAAACAGTAATGCTCGCTTCCCATCTCTCTGCACGCCGATCAACACTAGAAACAAAAAATTAACACTCGTTTATGTATTTACAAATTTTAGTTCTTAGTTATTAGGATGTTCAACTAAATTTCTAACCGAAAATGAGTCGAGAACATTGAATATGAAAAAACATCAAAGAAGAAGAAATAAACTTTTGGAGGTTTAAATAATTAAAAGTTTCTGTCATCTCGAGAAAACTGGCAAATATATTTTATTCACAATCAAATTATCTTGCATGTGAAAAGTTGGAAAGTCTGACATTTCAACTTCATTTAACAATTGATATGAGATATCAGATTCAGGTTGGCCCTTCTTTATCAGTTGATATGACATATGACAGTTCAGGTTGGCAAATGGCTACTTCCCAACCCGAAAACTAATAAGGAAGTGACCATTTCCCAACCTAAACTGTCATATGTCATGTTTTTCAAAATTTGATAAATTCTTTATTGGCTTTCTGTTATTTAAGAAGGATGATTATGAATAAAATAGTATACACACCTTGGTGGTCTTGGTTATCAAATTCACCTTGGTATAATGAAAAACCTCCCACCTCGGTATGTAATCTATTATTTTAACATGTTGTTACAAAATGGCCAAGACTTTAATGGATAGTATTTAATATTCACATATTAATAAACAAAAGACAAAAATATTTTACAATTATATATAAATTATGTATAAATTTAACAGGCTACTCATTCCAGAAATGTACTGGGAATTAAAATTAAAAAATAAATTCAGATGTAGACTACTTAATAAAAACACGTCTAGCAATGTTTAAAAGCCAGTAGAAAAAATATTTATTACAACAAATGTGGCTTTAAATAAAAACATTTGAAATTCGTATTTATAATTATCGTCGGAGATTTTATATAAAAGTGTTAACCCATATTTTTGGTTATTATTTATTTCAATTTAGTGTAATATAATGAATTTTTAATTATGATGAAATAAAGTCTTAACAGAGATACCCTGTACGCACATACAATTATTTTATTCTCCAGACCTCGAGTTTCACAAGAAATAATTCTTTTCTTTTGTAATTTTTTATCATCACAAATTTTTTGCCGTAGAAAGCAGATGTAGGTTGTATTCATCGCCTCGATTTTGCTACAACTACCTACACAGTACACATTATTTTTCAATCACTGCTTGTTTACACGAATAAATAATATGTCTGGAAATTCTTTCAAGATGCAAGTGACTTTTTCATACAAGTTTGAAAGTTGTTTAGTTTTGGTTAAGAATTAATTATTATTTTTTTGTTAGAGAGATATAAGACTGTTGTAAAAAGTTTTTATTAATGTGTGTGACATCACCGCAAAGAACCAAACGGTTTTTTTTTTCAGAAAACTCGATTATAATCAGTAATCATCAGTAATCACATTCTATAAAGAATGTCGTGTTGTAGATAACTTCACAGCAATCATAAAATCAAAAGAACAAAAAGGATTCACAAATCAGGCTAATCATTACTATGCATACTATGATGCAGAAACACCTGAATAATGTGCAGAAACGTCATAATACATTTTAGTAAATACGAAGAAAAATTGTTGATTTTTTTTGATTTTGTTTTATTATTATTATTTATTTAAATGCGAGTACAATAAGAGTCCAAAAAACAACACACTAATTGTTCAAAATTTTATACCAAGTGAATATAAAATCACATTATATCGTGTGTTATATGGAATTGTCCCTTTATTTGAAAGAAACAACACTCTTGACAAGAAAAAAATAATTTACACAGTGTCCATTTAAATAATACTTCAAGGTATTTTACTTTTAACAAACTTCTTCATTTTTTACCTTAATAATTTCAATTCGCTACAAAAATATTTTAGCCCTCAGATTTGAACTTTTTATTTGTATAGTGGTAAAAATTTGCTTATTTGATAAACCCTAACCAGATTTATTAATGCAATTAAAAAGTTATTAAGTGATCAATTCATTTGATTTTGTTTCATCATTGCTGTTTGTTGGAGCGTTAATTTCTTATTGGCCAGCGATATCGCCTGATGCAATCCCGCTTGAATTCTTTTTAAAATTAGTGTGAAACATAAATTAAAAGTGAAGTATCTAATTTGTTAAAAATTCAAAAATTCCAGTAGCTTTCACCATTACCCTCAATTTTTTGATTGGTTGAAAAACTTTACTCCTGACAAGAAAATCCGTTTCCGACATGCCATTGGCAACAGAAAGCCAACGTAAAATTTAATCTAAATAAATCTTCACGTTGTTGCCTCCTTAGTGACAGCGCATCGGAGAAATTTAGCGGTTTTTCTGACGTCATCGTGAAATGATGAAGCTTGAACCATAATCCTGCATGTTTTGCTTCACTAACCTGCGAAATACAAAAGTGTGTTCTGCTTGGCTTACTCCACAGGTCGACTAATTGAGAAAATCGCAGGTTTTATCTCCAATGACGTCAATTTTTTTCACTATTTCAAAATGGCCACAAGTCGAAAACAAATGCCAAAGTATCGAGCTACGCCCACTGGGGTTATATCCGTAAAACATTGATTTTTAAGCCAATGATCGGAGCACGACACTAATTAATATAGCTGTTGGCGAATTTTATAACAGATGAAATGCAGACAAAAATACGTGACATTATGTCATAAATAAAGCTCTCGGGTGAGAAATCTTGAACGTAAAAATATTGAAAGAGTGCCAACATCAACAGGTAAAAAAGGTTAAGATGAGAGTCAATTACTTCCGACGTAAAAAAAAACGTTAAAATGCTTCTAGTCTAAACTTGCAATTACATATTTAACGATGACTTAATTTTTTTTAGTGGGATTTAATTTCGTGACGTATTGTCTTGTCACATACAGATATTAATCAAATTAAATCAAAAACTTGTTTTGCAAACTTTAGCAACAACATAAAATGGACATTTCAAATACCAGCGGGAGCAGTCAACCCAAATGATGTTTGTCATTTAGGTAAAAAAATTGAACCAGGATAAAATATCATTAGCACTAAAACATATAGTTATTTATTAAACAAGACAATAAAGAAATTGTCGTTTCACCTACCAGAATTTGTTGAATATAAACAGTAGATAAAAATTACCTACTTTATTTCACTAGACAATAAAAGACAACTTTATCTACTGAAATTAATTGATAAAATATAAACAGTAGATAAAAATTACTTTATTTTACTAGACGATAAAAGACTGAAATTTGTCGATAAAAGCACTCTTTAACATTGAGTATAAAATAAAGATTTTTTGTTTGGAGTAAAGTAAAATTAAAAGATTTTAGGGAGCGCTTCCTTAGGTCAAAATAGAAAAAAGTCCCTATGAACCTATCTCCGGAAACGTTTCATAAGGGAGCTAAAACGACAATTGTCGTTTCATACATGTTTTTTTGGAATTAAGGTCAGTCCACAGTTTAAGAAATCCCACTTTTTTTCTTTACTAAAAATGACACAAAAAACACTTTCTAAAAAGGTAATTAACGAATGCAAATTTGTAAGAAAAATTATAAAAAAATATTTTCGAAAAGCAAAATTTTTCGCCTTAATCGGTTGATCACAGACCAGAGGACTTCAGCTCCCTTATGAAGCATTTCTGGACATAAGTCTAAAAAAACTTTTTTCATAGACTGATCTGAAGAATCACCTCACGAAATCTCTCAATGTTTTTTTTTTATTTTATCCGGTCCGGTAAATTAAGCTTCCCGGCCCCATTTTGAGTCCAGGAAGTGAGTTATTATAATATCTGAGCCGGTAAGTAGTACGAAGTGTAAGGTAAATGAGCTATTACGGTATCAGAGCCAACCGAGCAACACTTACGAGTACCAGAGTGTGATTTTTGACATAATAAAACGTCAAATCAATTCATTACGACGCCTTGTCTTTAAACATCTCATTCGAACTGTAATATTTGACTTACCGAATTTATAGTGACAATTACTAGTTCCCGACAACCTGAATATACACGGTGTTTCAAAACATAAATATAAAGTAGACAGTTGTAATCCTTAGATCATAACCTTCATGAGAAAAATGGTTTATAGTGTGTTGAATTTAAAAAAATGGTAAAAATTGTACTCAAACTCAAAAACAAAAAAAAATTTCGAAAAATTTTATTTTTTAGAAAATATCACATTTTTATAATAGTTTAACATTCATCACTTAGTTTTTACAAAAAATAAATAGTTTAAGCAAAAAACGTATGGTTCCATACTTTTTACTGACCTGGTATACATATTGATAAATAAGTCATATTTTTAGTTTTTATTAATTTCTTTAAATAATATAATAACAATAACTCAAATAACTCAACTAATGTCCTTTTAGTTTTTGTTTAGAAAAAACAAGTTGTAAAAAATGTCTAACCATCTCTTTAATATTCGCTGAAACACCCTGTATTCAGTCATTCTAGGAAGTTTTTTAAGAAATTCCAAAATTTACTTTGGCTATTTCATTAGATTCATAAAGAATAAGATAATTAATTCTCATTATTTAACTAATGATTTCTATGCATAAAGCAGCTCCAATCAATTAAAATTTCGGTCCAGCAAAATATATTTCCATACAAACAAGCTGTCGTTTTGAAGGCATTTCCCCAAACGAAGCTGCATTCCGCCATCCAAACTATTCAAATACCTGTTTAAAAATTCAAAATTACCAATTCAGTAACTCAGCCGTTACATCAGCTTGTAATTTTCCGATGCATATCTATTATTATGCACATTTAATATTCTCTTCATTTCTGATATCTACCTGACCTGTACATCTAATAAAAAATTTAGGGAAATTTAAATTCGAATTGGTGGCCATGCTGTCGATTCCAGGGAACGATAGAGCCCTATAGTATGGCGATAAGTCGTATCTAAATCTTCATTTCTATTGGTCGAAGATGAACGGACACGCCTCTTTACTAATAGAAAGAAGGTTATCTCTGTGGTCTCCGCTCTTGGTCGTAAATTAAACACCAGAAGGGTCCCTAGACACGTGTCGGGGCTCCCCTCGGGCCGAAAATGGCGTCCACTTA